GGCTGGCATCGATAGTAATACTGAAATTAAATGTGACCCACCCGTACTAGACATCTGTGAAGAAGAGCTTCACCAATCATCGGATTCCTCCAGTCTAAACAAAGCTTCTAATTCTGATGTTAAGAAAATTGATAGTAATAGTGCAGTAAAAGGCATACTGTTGTTACATTATTCGTGCAAAAGAACAATTAACAAACAGGCTCTCCACTCGCCAATAATGACCCCATGTGGCTTTAAAGAGAACACAAACGTGCAATTGGGGATGCTTGGTGCATCACCCAAAACGTCACTGATTACCGGCCTGCCGGAGGGGGAAGGCAGCCTGTCCTGCTGGGCAGCTTTTGTGGAAAGGGGCCACGTCGGTCGGCGGTGGACAAGGCCCTCCTGAAGGCCCAGGTAAAGCTCGCCAAGACCCAGGCGAGGGCGCGCTAGTTCCTGGAGGAGCTGTGGCGGGACGCGGCCACAGTCGATGCCGCCAAGAAGTGGAAGAAGAAGGGGAGCATGGGAGAAGGATACGACAAGAAGGCATCCACGCGGACCGTGGGCAGCAGATGGAGGCGCAAAAGGAACTTGTTTCGCAACGATAGTAGACCAGGTGAGAGGATTGAACTCGGCATGGGTGTGAAAGACGGAGAGAGGCACGGGGTTAGACTCGCCCGCTAAACAGGTGATGTTGATTCTAAATGCGGAGGGAAAACTGGAGGACCTGGAGAAAAATGTGAGCGACCATGGGGAGAGAAAAATGCAAATTCTAAATATACAACAGGCGTCAGGGTTCCGATCGAACTCACGGCCACCTGTATACCACGCGAGAGAGCTACCATCTCGCCACTGTGCCACCTATTCGGGGGCTGCAAGTGTGCGCGAGTGACGAATGGGGGTAATCGTTCTGTTGCAGGAACAACTGCCCAGCGAGAGATGGACCGGGATGAGCTCGTCGTGCTTGTGGATGAGGCAATGATCTTCCTCCCCGTCCACACGGCGGAAACTCTGCTCTTCGGGGAAGAGGGCAGCAGCGTAAGCACGAGCCTCAACACCATCAGCATCGACCTCGGCAGCGGTAGCAGCAGCAGCATCTACATCAGCAGCAGCAGTAGCGGCAACAGCAGCAGAGGAGGAAGCAACGTCTACTTGGCACAGTCTGAGTCTGAGATGTTTGCAGACTCCACGGCCATCGATGCCGATGATGATGGCTTCCTCCATGGTGACCCTTGCGCCCCTCCACCTCTCTGTATCTCTTACAGCAGTGTTTCACGAACTTTTTGTCCTGCCGACCACTCGGTCAATGTAAAGATTTCCGCAGACCGCAAAGCCCCCTACGAATTGTGACAAAGAAGGCCTATTGCCCAAAACGGCGCCGATAACACGTCTATAAATGTTTTTTTTTTATTTCAAGGCCACAGTGTTGTTGATGAGTATATTGAGTTTATTTTTATTCTCAAGAGGCAAAGTGTCACTGGAACGTCGTGGAGAATGGCCCCTTGGCAAGTCGGCCGTGGCCAGATGTTCACCGCGTGCTGATTTTCTATTCCCCTAACTGAAGGCGTCTGTGAATCTGGACACCACGGTCGTGGATCCAAACGGTGTGCTGAACCTCAACCGAGACATTTTGAGCATGCCTCGGCTAGTAATGGTGGCGCAGTCAGCCGATTGGAAGTCTGGCCAGGAATCGGTTGGGAGTGACTTGCATATGGAAACACATAGGGATCTGTAAAAAAGACAAAGATCCCCCATACAGCCTTAACACACTTTTGGCGCAAGTGCTGTTAGCGAGCGTCTATAAAGTCCGGCACTGTGGCACACGAGGAGGGTGGCCAAAACTACGCCCGTCCGCCTTTGTCTTATGAGTGGCGATGTTTACATACTTCACAAAGTACTCAATTGAGGCTCAGTCGACCTAGGGGAGACCCAGGACCCATTCAGATAATCGTCACCAGCGTTGTCCGTAAGCGGACAGAGAGCTTGGATCACCGGGTTCGTAGAGCAGCGCGCTAACCGCTACAGGACTGCTCCCTACGTACATTTAGAATCAACATCACGCATTTAAGAGTATTTCGCTACTATAAATTTCCACGTGAAAAGCCACTTCGTTGAGCTATCATTTGTGGCCAGGTCGCTTCTGAAAAAAGAGCTACATAACTCAGTGGGCCTTATGTGGTAAAATAAAAAATTGTAACGTTTTTTAGTTTAGTCTAATACTGCCGATGTATTAACAGGAGTATTAATGGGAATAACATTCCGCGCCATCTGCTTCACAGCGAACATTGACGTTTCCCCTAACGTAACTCGCAAGAGAAGGCCAAGGTGTGCCGGCGTCATGGTCCAAACTTGCTAAATTCGAAAATAACACCGCAAACGACTCAACCATGATCACGCACACAGCGGCAGCCATTACTGCCCCCACACCCCTACTGGCAGACTAATGCCCCAAGTCACGAGCAAACCAGACTCATCCTGGTATTTTGAGGTCTCAGGGGTTACACAAAAAAATACTTGAAACTAGGGCAGCGGTCCCTGGCCTGTGGTCCGCGGACCACTGGTCGACCCACAATGCCGAGCGGCAGACTCCACGTAATTAATTTTCTTTCCACAAACACCACATCCTTTACTACGCAATGGGCTAACGGTGATTTGCGATTCCAGAAGGGTTCGGAAGCACTGATCTGGAGGGTGTTTTAGTTCTACTCTTCTTCCATGGCCAGACGTCTTGAAAGAAGTGGCAGTAACCTACACTTTAACCCACCAATCACGACCTGCCGACTAACCCAGTGTTTTTCATTGCAAGGTCCGCGGTTCGCTGGCGGCCTTTAGTGCGGCCCCTGAAGTGAAGCCCCCCGACAATACACAAATAGTAAAAACATCCCCCATCATCATTGTGCTGCTGTCACACCCCCAATGGTTGCAAATGTGTGGCGGTCCTCACACCGATGATGTCTTATCGGTGAAAGTGGCCCCCCCTCTGTAAATTAGTGAAGGACACTGTACTAACCGTGCTGTGGCCCGTTTGTAAGAGGTCATCCATTTAGTACGCAAGCAAAAATCTTTCAAAGCTTGACCCCTACCCGCCCCCCCCCCCCCATCTGCGTATGTACGCTTGACGTATCCCCGCCCCTCCCGAATCCTATAGAATGGCGGATCAAGGATTAATAATATTAACGTGTTTAAGCAAACAGATAGTCCACTGCCAGACAATCCAACTAATTTGAAGGCCAATGTAGACAAATTATTGAGGCTTCACCCCCCCACCCACCCCGTTTCCTATGCGTACGTACATTGTCAGTAGACCCCCCATACGCAAGCGTACGAATTTGGGTTCATGCGTACATACTAAATGGATGGCCCCTAACCTGCTGACCAGACAGATGTAGTGGCACTCGCGTTAAACAGCCACACTTTAAAAGCATGTAAACATTCAATAGGTTTCGGAGTAGCGTACAGTGTTAAATATTTTATCGCTTCCGTTTAAAACTTTACATTCATGGGGTTAAAAAAACAAGATATATCATGATTACTTCTGCTCTCAAACAAAAATCCGGTTTATAATAATAATCTTGAAGGAAATGTTTCTCACCTAAATTAACGAGGATTTCCTTGGCGTGCCGCCCCTGCGAACACGAGGGAACAACAAATAAACCAACCGTTAATAATAGTAACATTTTTATTTTATACAGCGTCGTTCATGCAAAACTACATCTCACAACGCTGTCGAAGACAACAGCAACAAATAATGACGAATATATATTGCCTCTCGCAGAAAAACAACACACAGCATACTCAAACCAAGGTCAACTCAACTGTTACCAAACACAACACAGCCACTATCATGGTTGTGGTGCATCGGCCAGTCATCTTAGTCAGTCGACCCATGGAACCTGGGTCTGCCCCGTGACCTCCTGCGGGCGTTCGACACTTCACGTGGCCTTAACGTGCACATAGCCTCGCACAAGCGACGTGGTGACGTCACCGCCACATAGTGGCGAATGGCGGTTGTTGTTGTTATTATGTGTGTGGAGAGCGGTATTGTCACAGGAAGCGCGCTGCGCTACGAACCAGGTTCGATTCTCACTCACTGCCAACACCAGTGACGCTTATCTGAACCAGTCCTGGGCTTCCTCTAGGTCGACTCAGCCCCCAATGAGAACCTCATGCAGTGTGTAAACATCGCCACTGGGGAAATGAAGGCGGCTGGGCATAGTGTTGGCCACCTACCCCCTCGCGCGCCGTGCCGGCCTTCATAGGTTTTCGCGAACAGCACTGGCCCCAGCAGTCTATTAAGGCTATACGGGGGATCTTTGTCTTTATTTTTTGTGTGTGTGTGTGTCAGAAGCGGTGGTGTAGCCGTTAGCACAACGAACCCAGTGACCCGAGTTCGATTTCCCCTCATGCCCAACCCCAGTGACCACTATCTAAACCGCTTCTGCGCCTCCACAAGTTCGACTAAGCAGAAAAAGAGTACCTGGTACGGTGTGTAAAAATTGCCACTAGGCAGACAAAGGCGGTCGGCCGTGGTGTTGGCTACCCACCCCTCGTGTGCAGTGTCGACCTTAATAGGCGCTCACTAACTGCACTTGCCCGCAACAGTCTGTTAAGGATATATAGAGGATCTTTGTCAGTGTGCTTGTGAAAGTGACTGTGTGCTTTAGCAGCTGTGAGGATTATCCCCTCGTACCGTAACGGCCTTCCTAGGACCTTGTTAACAGCACTTTCCCCAAAAGTGTGTTAAGTCTATACGGGGGATCTTTGTCTTCAGAACAGACTCCCTTCGTAAATCGGGACTGCCCAAATCATCACGGAAGCTACGCGGGTTCGGGCTGGCATCGATTGTAATACTGAAATAAAATGTGACCCGCCCGTACTAGACATCTGTGAAGAAGAGCTTCACCAATCATCGGATTCCTCCAGTCTAAATAAAGCTTCTGACGCTGATGTTAAGAGAATGGATAGTAAGTGCGATAAAATGTATACTGTTGTTACATTATTCGTGAAAAAGAACAACAGCTTCACTCGTCAATTATGACCCGGTGTGGCCTTAAAGAGAACACCAACATGCAATAAGGGATGATTGGTGCATCACCCGAAACGTCGCTGATTACCGGCCTGCTGGAGGAGGAGGGCAGCCTGTCCTGCTGGGGTGGCTTTTGTGGGAAGGGGCCAAGTCGGTCGGCGGTGGACAAGGCCATCTTGAAGGCCCAGGTAAAGCTCGCCAAGACCCAGGCGAGGGCGTGCCAGGTCTTGGAGGAGCTGTGGCGGGACGCGGCCACAGTCGATGCCGCCACCATCAGCATCGACCTCGGCAGCGGTAGCAGCAGCAGCATCTACATCAGCAGCAGCAGTAGCGGCAGCAGCAGCAGAGGCGGAAGCAGCGGCTACTTGGCACAGTCTGAGTCCGAGATGTTTGCAGACTCCACGGCCATCGATGCCGATGATGATGGCTTCCTCCATGGTGACCCTTGCGCCCCTCCACCTCTCTGCATCTCTTAAAGAAGTGTTTCTCAGTGCTGTTCGCTAACAGCACTGGCCCCATCCGTCTATTAAGGCTATACGGGGAGCTTTGTTTTTGTGTGTGTATGTGTGTGTGTGTCAGAAGCGGTGGTGTTTCCATTAGCGCAACGGACCCAGTGACCCGAGTTCGATTCCCCCTCACGCCCAACCCCAGTGACCACTATCTAAACCGCTTCTGCGCCTCCCCGGGGTCGATTCGGTTTAAAAAGAGTACCTGGTGAGGTGTGTAAACATCGCCACTAGGGAGACAAAGGCGGTCGGCCGTGGTGTTGGTCACCCACCCCTCGTGTGCAGTGTCGAACTTAATTGGCGCTCACTAACTGCACTTGCCCGCAACAGTCTGTTAAGGATATATAGAGGAACTTTGACAGTGTGCTTGTGAAAGTGACGGTGTGCTTTAGCAGCTGTGACGATAATCTGCTAGTACCGTAACGGCCTTCATAGGACCTCGTTAACAGCACTTTCCCCAAAAGTGTGTTAAGTCTATACGGGGGATCTTTGTCTTCAGAACAGACTCCCATCGTAAATCGGGACTGACCAAATCGTCACGGAAGCTACGCAGGTTCGGGCTGGCATCGATTGTAATACTGAAATAAAATGTGACCCGCCCGTACTAGACATCTGTGAAGAAGAGCTTCACCAATTATCGGATTCCTCCAGTCTAAATAAAGCTTCTGACGCTGATGTTAAGAGAATTGACAGAAAGTGCGATAAAATGTATACTAAATTTTGATTTAAAGCTTTCGTGACTGCAGTAATTCATATTCTTAGTTTTTTCGGTAAAGTCACGTTGAAGAGAAACAACAAAATAATAAAATATATATAAAACAATAAAAAATTCTCACGACGTTTCGACCATAACTCAAACGGTCATCTTCAGGTGTGTCGGTTTGCATAAATGTATTTTAAAACGGCGCATTATTTATTTATTTATTAATAAAATATAAAAAAAAAGAGACGTTAGCGTCACGCGCAGCGATTTGGCAGTTTACCCAGGACTAGTCCATCTATATTTTGAAAAGAGGAGGGGGGAGACGAAATTTTAAAATGTATGCTGTCTGAAAGCCAATGTAAGCGTGACCAATCAATTAAGAACTGAAATGGTTTATCAAATCTTTCCAATGATTGCTAAGATAGAATCCACCTTCTCGGTTGAAATTGTCTCTGTGCTTGTATATGTGGATAGCCTCATGAACGAATCTCTCATGGAAGCCAGATGGCTTACAAAGAACCTCTGTCTTGGAAAAGTCAATGGCATGTGAGCCTACTGAATTAGAACAATGATCTGCTATGGCCGAGGTGTTGGTCCTACCGTGTTTAAGGTCTGCTTTGTGTTCACGAATGCGGTCCGAGACATGGCGTTTGGTTTCTCCAATGTAACTACTACCACAGAGGCAACTTAGTTTGTAGACACCAGGGTATTGTATGTCCGGAATCACATCTTTTACAGACGGAACCAGATCACGGATTTTATGTAATGTGTTGAAACGGACCTGGATCTTGTGTTTATTCAAGATTTTGGAGATCTTTTTTGTGATCCCAGCAATGTAGGGTAAAGTGATGGTTTTGAAAGGCTCCTCAAGAGGGTTCTTCTTCATGGTTTGAGTGATAGCTTTGCGGATTGTATAGTCGGAGTAACCATTAGCCCTAAGAGCTTGGTGTACATGCTTGAGTTCACTGCTTATGTGTTCCTGGTCGGATATGCATTGGGCTCTATGATACAGAGTCTTGATGAGAGAATTCTTCTGTGATGGATGGTGGTGGGAATCCGGTTTCAGATAAGCATCCGTATGGGTAGCTTTCCTGTAGACAGAGTGGCTCATTGAACCATCAGGTCTCTTTTTAATTAGGACATCCAAAAAAGGTATCTTGCCATCTATTTCGACTTCCATGGTAAATCTGATGGCTGGGTGTATGGAATTGATGTGGTCGAAGAATTGGTCTAGAGCAGGCCGGCCATGTGGCCAGATGACAAAAGTGTCATCCACGTACCTCTTCCATAAGGTTGGGCGCAGAGTGGCAGTCTGGATGGCGTCAGTCTCAAATTTCTCCATGAAAATGTTAGCTATAACTGGAGAAAGGGGGGAGCCCATTGGGGTGCCCTCAGTTTGTTTGTAGAAAGTTCCATTCCAAGTGAAGTATGTATTGGTTAAACAGTGTCTCACCAGGGGGGGTACCTCAGTGTTTAGTCCTTGATGAACCAAGTCTTCAATGATTGCAATGGTGTCAGGTACAGGAACCTTGGTGAATAAGGAAACTACATCAAAACTGACAAGCAGGTCGTCTGGGGACAGGGAAATACCCTGATTGTTGATACCAGGTGAGTGGAATTTTGTACCGCAGAGGTGGTCTTTCCAGTGAAAGGACGCAGGATTTCAGACAAAAAACGAGCTAGTTTGTAGGTGGGGGAGCTGATAGTAGAGACTATGGGACGAAGAGGTGTATCAACTTTATGTATTTTTGGTAAGCCGTATAATCTTGGTGGCCTGGCAGCAGAAGGTTTCAACGAAAACTGTTTAGATTGATCAATTAATGCAGTTGAATCAGAAATTATTTTGTTGGTTTGTGTGACGAGGCTGTTGGTGGGATCTCTTTTTATTTTTGTATAACTACCATCGTCGAGTAATTCTTTAATTTTGTTGTTGTATTCTATTTTATCCATGATGACAGTAGCATTGCCTTTGTCAGCTGAGAGAACTACAATATCATTCCTCTTTTTTAAGTTATATAATTCAAAACGCTCATCTTTGCTGAGGTTACTAGCTGGCATCTTAGCGTTTTTGAGGGTTGCAGCGATTTCAGATCTTGCTACGTCTGCAGCGATGTGACCCAGGCCCCTGAGAGCAACGTCTACTTGGGCAATTATATCATTAACTGGTATGTGTTTAGGTGTGACTGCAAAGTTTAGACCTTTAGCTAAAACGGATTTCAGACCATCGGAAATAGAACTGTTACTGCGATTAATTACGACTTTATTAACGTCTAACTTTTTGGTGTGTGGGTCCGGTCTTTTGTTGAAGAGGAGGTTAAATTTGGAAATCAGGTTTTCCTTACATTTGGTCGACATAGTAGCAGCTGAAGAGGCAGTCATATTGTCTACATGTTCCCAATCCGATGTGGACATTATTGCCGTCAATGATAAGTGTGATTTGTAGAGTGTCTTGTCTAACTGATCTAGTTCTGTGCGTATAAGTCTGATTTTTTCTGAGATAAGAGCTAAGCTAGTTTTGAAAAGAATTCGTTTCGCATTAGAAGAAGTTACAGCAGCAGAGGTCAGTGTAAATGCGATTGGTATTACCCCAGAGTCGCGGCATCTCTTCAGGAAGGTGAGAGACTCGATCAGCTGAGCTTTCTTATCCCGGAGTTTGTTGAAGGATCTTAAAGTTATGTGAAAACCCTCCCCGTAGAGGCGATTAAATTTTGATTTAAAGCTTTCGTGACTGCAGTAATTCATATTCTTAGTTTTTTCGATAAAGTCACGTTGAAGAGAAACAACAAAATAATAAAATATATATATAACAATAAAGAATATGAATTACTGCAGTCACGAAAGCTTTAAATCAAAATTTAATCGCCTCTACGGGGAGGGTTTTCACATAACTTTAAGATCCTTCAACAAACTCCGGGATAAGAAAGCTCAGCTGATCGAGTCTCTCACCTTCCTGAAGAGATGCCGCGACTCTGGGGTAATACCAATCGCATTTACACTGACCTCTGCTGCTGTAACTTCTTCTAATGCGAAACGAATTCTTTTCAAAACTAGCTTAGCTCTTATCTCAGAAAAAATCAGACTTATACGCACAGAACTAGATCAGTTAGACAAGACACTCTACAAATCACACTTATCATTGACGGCAATAATGTCCACATCGGATTGGGAACATGTAGACAATATGACTGCCTCTTCAGCTGCTACTATGTCGACCAAATGTAAGGAAAACCTGATTTCCAAATTTAACCTCCTCTTCAACAAAAGACCGGACCCACACACCAAAAAGTTAGACGTTAATAAAGTCGTAATTAATCGCAGTAACAGTTCTATTTCCGATGGTCTGAAATCCGTTTTAGCTAAAGGTCTAAACTTTGCAGTCACACCTAAACACATACCAGTTAATGATATAATTGCCCAAGTAGACGTTGCTCTCAGGGGCCTGGGTCACATCGCTGCAGACGTAGCAAGATCTGAAATCGCTGCAACCCTCAAAAACGCTAAGATGCCAGCTAGTAACCTCAGCAAAGATGAGCGTTTTGAATTATATAAATTAAAAAAGAGGAATGATATTGTAGTTCTCTCAGCTGACAAAGGCAATGCTACTGTCATCATGGATAAAATAGAATACAACAACAAAATTAAAGAATTACTCGACGATGGTAGTTATACAAAAATAAAAAGAGATCCCACCAACAGCCTCGTCACACAAACCAACAAAATAATTTCTGATTCAACTGCATTAATTGATCAATCTAAACAGTTTTCGTTGAAACCTTCTGCTGCCAGGCCACCAAGATTATACGGCTTACCAAAAATACATAAAGTTGATACACCTCTTCGTCCCATAGTCTCTACTATCAGCTCCCCCACCTACAAACTAGCTCGTTTTTTGTCTGAAATCCTGCGTCCTTTCACTGGAAAGACCACCTCTGCGGTACAAAATTCCACTCACCTGGTATCAACAATCAAGGGTATTTCCCTGTCCCCAGACGACCTGCTTGTCAGTTTTGATGTAGTTTCCTTATTCACCAAGGTTCCTGTACCTGACACCATTGCAATCATTGAAGACTTGGTTCATCAAGGACTAAACACTGAGGTACCCCCCCTGGTGAGACACTGTTTAACCAATACATACTTCACTTGGAATGGAACTTTCTACAAACAAACTGAGGGCACCCCAATGGGCTCCCCCCTTTCTCCAGTTATAGCTAACATTTTCATGGAGAAATTTGAGACTGACGCCATCCAGACTGCCACTCTGCGCCCAACCTTATGGAAGAGGTACGTGGATGACACTTTTGTCATCTGGCCACATGGCCGGCCTGCTCTAGACCAATTCTTCGACCACATCAATTCCATACACCCAGCCATCAGATTTACCATGGAAGTCGAAATAGATGGCAAGATACCTTTTTTGGATGTCCTAATTAAAAAGAGACCTGATGGTTCAATGAGCCACTCTGTCTACAGGAAAGCTACCCATACGGATGCTTATCTGAAACCGGATTCCCACCACCATCCATCACAGAAGAATTATCTCATCAAGACTCTGTATCATAGAGCCCAATGCATATCCGACCAGGAACACATAAGCAGTGAACTCAAGCATGTACACCAAGCTCTTAGGGCTAATGGTTACTCCGACTATACAATCCGCAAAGCTATCACTCAAACCATGAAGAAGAACCCTCTTGAGGAGCCTTTCAAAACCATCACTTTACCCTACATTGCTGGGATCACAAAAAAGATCTCCAAAATCTTGAATAAACACAAGATCCAGGTCCGTTTCAACACATTACATAAAATCCGTGATCTGGTTCCATCTGTAAAAGATGTGATTCCGGACATACAATACCCTGGTGTCTACAAACTAAGTTGCCTCTGTGGTAGTAGTTACATTGGAGAAACCAAACGCCATGTCTCGGACCGCATTCGTGAACACAAAGCAGACCTTAAACACGGTAGGACCAACACCTCGGCCGTAGCAGATCATTGTTCTAATTCAGTAGGCTCACATGCCATTGACTTTTCCAAGACAGAGGTTCTTTGTAAGCCATCTGGCTTCCATGAGAGATTCGTTCATGAGGCTATCCACATATACAAGCACAGAGACAATTTCAACCGAGAAGGTGGATTCTATCTTAGCAATCATTGGAAAGATTTGATAAACCATTTCAGTTCTTAATTGATTGGTCACGCTTACATTGGCTTTCAGACAGCATACATTTTAAAATTTCGTCTCCCCCCTCCTCTTTTCAAAATATAGATGGACTAGTCCTGGGTAAACTGCCAAATCGCTGCGCGTGACGCTAACGTCTCTTTTTTAATATTTTATAAATAAATAAATAAAAATGCACCGTTTTAAAATAAATTTATGCAAACCGACACACCTGAAGATGACCGTTTGAGTTATGGTCGAAACGTCGTGATAATTTTTTTATTGTTTTATATATATTTTATTATTTTGTTGTTTCTCTTCAACGTGACTTTACCGAAAAAACTAAGAATATGAATTACTGCAGTCACGAAAGCTTTAAATCAAAATTTAATCGCCTCTACGGGGAGGGTTTTCACATAACTTTAAGATCCTTCAACAAACTCCGGGATAAGAAAGCTCAGCTGATCGAGTCTCTCACCTTCCTGAAGAGATGCCGCGACTCTGGGGTAATACCAATCGCATTTACACTGACCTCTGCTGCTGTAACTTCTTCTAATGCGAAACGAATTCTTTTCAAAACTAGCTTAGCTCTTATCTCAGAAAAAATCAGACTTATACGCACAGAACTAGATCAGTTAGACAAGACACTCTACAAATCACACTTATCATTGACGGCAATAATGTCCACATCGGATTGGGAACATGTAGACAATATGACTGCCTCTTCAGCTGCTACTATGTCGACCAAATGTAAGGAAAACCTGATTTCCAAATTTAACCTCCTCTTCAACAAAAGACCGGACCCACACACCAAAAAGTTAGACGTTAATAAAGTCGTAATTAATCGCAGTAACAGTTCTATTTCCGATGGTCTGAAATCCGTTTTAGCTAAAGGTCTAAACTTTGCAGTCACACCTAAACACATACCAGTTAATGATATAATTGCCCAAGTAGACGTTGCTCTCAGGGGCCTGGGTCACATCGCTGCAGACGTAGCAAGATCTGAAATCGCTGCAACCCTCAAAAACGCTAAGATGCCAGCTAGTAACCTCAGCAAAGATGAGCGTTTTGAATTATATAACTTAAAAAAGAGGAATGATATTGTAGTTCTCTCAGCTGACAAAGGCAATGCTACTGTCATCATGGATAAAATAGAATACAACAACAAAATTAAATAATTACTCGATGATGGTAGTTATACAAAAATAAAAAGAGATCCCACCAACAGCCTCGTCACACAAACCAACAAAATAATTTCTGATTCAACCGCATTAATTGATCAATCTAAACAGTTTTCGTTGAAACCTTCTGCTGCCAGGCCACCAAGATTATACGGCTTACCAAAAATACATAAAGTTGATACACCTCTTCGTCCCATAGTCTCTACTATCAGCTCCCCCACCTACAAACTAGCTCGTTTTTTGTCTGAAATCCTGCGTCCTTTCACTGGAAAGACCACCTCTGCGGTACAAAATTCCACTCACCTGGTATCAACAATCAAGGGTATTTCCCTGTCCCCAGACGACCTGCTTGTCAGTTTTGATGTAGTTTCCTTATTCACCAAGGTTCCTGTACCTGACACCATTGCAATCATTGAAGACTTGGTTCATCAAGGACTAAACACTGAGGTACCCCCCCTGGTGAGACACTGTTTAACCAATACATACTTCACTTGGAATGGAACTTTCTACAAACAAACTGAGGGCACCCCAATGGGCTCCCCCCTTTCTCCAGTTATAGCTAACATTTTCATGGAGAAATTTGAGACTGACGCCATCCAGACTGCCACTCTGCGCCCAACCTTATGGAAGAGGTACGTGGATGACACTTTTGTCATCTGGCCACATGGCCGGCCTGCTCTAGACCAATTCTTCGACCACATCAATTCCATACACCCAGCCATCAGATTTACCATGGAAGTCGAAATAGATGGCAAGATACCTTTTTTGGATGTCCTAATTAAAAAGAGACCTGATGGTTCAATGAGCCACTCTGTCTACAGGAAAGCTACCCATACGGATGCTTATCTGAAACCGGATTCCCACCACCATCCATCACAGAAGAATTCTCTCATCAAGACTCTGTATCATAGAGCCCAATGCATATCCGACCAGGAACACATAAGCAGTGAACTCAAGCATGTACACCAAGCTCTTAGGGCTAATGGTTACTCCGACTATACAATCCGCAAAGCTATCACTCAAACCATGAAGAAGAACCCTCTTGAGGAGCCTTTCAAAACCATCACTTTACCCTACATTGCTGGGATCACAAAAAAGATCTCCAAAATCTTGAATAAACACAAGATCCAGGTCCGTTTCAACACATTACATAAAATCCGTGATCTGGTTCCGTCTGTAAAAGATGTGATTCCGGACATACAATACCCTGGTGTCTACAAACTAAGTTGCCTCTATGGTAGTAGTTACATTGGAGAAACCAAACGCCATGTCTCGGACCGCATTCGTGAACACAAAGCAGACCTTAAACACGGTAGGACCAACACCTCGGCCGTAGCAGATCATTGTTCTAATTCAGTAGGCTCACATGCCATTGACTTTTCCAAGACAGAGGTTCTTTGTAAGCCATCTGGCTTCCATGAGAGATTCGTTCATGAGGCTATCCACATATACAAGCACAGAGACAATTTCAACCGAGAAGGTGGATTCTATCTTAGCAATCATTGGAAAGATTTGATAAACCATTTCAGTTCTTAATTGATTGGTCACGCTTACATTGGCTTTCAGACAGCATACATTTTAAAATTTCGTCTCCCCCCTCCTCTTTTCAAAATATAGATGGACTAGTCCTGGGTAAACTGCCAAATCACTGCGCGTGACGCTAACGTCTCTTTTTTTAAATATTTTATAAATAAATAAATAAAAAATGGGCCGTTTTAAAATAAATTTATGCAAACCGACATACCTGAAGATGACCGTTTGAGTTATGGTCGAAACGTCGTGAGAATTTTTTATTGTTTTATATATATTTTATTATTTTGTTGTTTCTCTTCAACGTGACTTTACCGAAAAAACTAAGAATAAAAATGTATACTGTTGTTACATTATTCGTGAAAAAGAACAACAGCTTCACTCGTCAATTATGACCCCGTGTGGCCTTAAAGAGAACACAAACATGCAATAGGGGATGCTTGGTGCATCACCCGAAACGTCGCTGATTACCGGCCTGCTGGAGGAGGAGGGCAGCCTGTCCTGCTGGGGTGGCTTTTGTGGGAAGGGGCCAAGTCGGTCGGCGGTGGACAAGGCCATCTTGAAGGCCCAGGGAAAGCTCGCCAAGACCCAGGCGAGGTCGCGCCAGGTCCTGGAGGAGCTGTGGCGGGACGCGGCCACAGTCGATGCCGCCACCATCAGCATCGACCTCGGCAGCGGTAGCAGCAGCAGCATCTACATCAGCAGCAGCAGTAGCGGCAGCAGCAGCAGAGGCGGAAGCAGCGGCTACTTGGCACAGTCTGAGTCCGAGATGTTTGCAGACTCCACGGCCATCGATGCCGATGATGATGGCTTCCTCCATGGTGACCCTTGCGCCCCTCCACCTCTCTGCATCTCTTAAAGAAGTGTTTCTCAGTGCTGTTCGCTAAGAGCACTGGCCCCATCCGTCTATTAAGGCTATACGGGGAGCTTTGTTTTTGTGTGTGTATGTGTGTGTGTGTCAGAAGCGGTGGTGTTTCCATTAGCGCAACGGACCCAGTGACCCGAGTTCGATTCCCCCTCACGCCCAACCCCAGTGACCACTATCTAAACCGCTTCTGCGCCTCGCCGGGGTCGATTCGGTTTAAAAAGAGTACCTGGTGAGGTGTGTAAACATCGCCACTAGGGAGACAAAGGCGGTCGGCCGTGGTGTTGGCCACCCACCCCTCGTGTGCAGTGTCGACCTTAATTGGCGCTCACTAACTGCACTTGCCCGCAACAGTCTGTTAAGGATATATAGAGGAACTTTGACAGTGTGCTTGTGAAAGTGACGGTGTGCTTTAGCAGCTGTGACGATAATCCGCTAGTACCGTAACGGCCTTCATAGGACCTCGTTAACAGCACTTTCCCCAAAAGTGTGTTAAGTCTATATGGGGGATCTTTGTCTTCAGAACAGACTCCCATCGTAAATCGGGACTGCCCAAATCATCACGGAAGCTACGCGGGTTCGGGCTGGCATCGATTGTAATACTGAAATAAAATGTGACCCGCCCGTACTAGACATCTGTGAAGAAGAGCTTCACCAATCATCGGATTCCTCCAGTCTAAATAAAGCTTCTGACGCTGATGTTAAGAGAATTGATAGTAAGTGCGATAAAATGTATACTGTTGTTACATTATTCGTGAAAAAGAACAACAGCTTCACTCGTCAATTATGACCCCGTGTGGCCTTAAAGAGAACACAAACATGCAATAGGGGATGCTTGGTGCATCACCCGAAACGTCGCTGATTACCGGCCTGCTGGAGGAGGAGGGCAGCCTGTCCTGCTGGGGTGGCTTTTGTGGGAAGGGGCCAAGTCGGTCGGCGGTGGACAAGGCCATCTTGAAGGCCCAGGTAAAGCTCGCCAAGACCCAGGCGAGGGCGTGCCAGGTCTTGGAGGAGCTGTGGCGGGACGCGGCCACAGTCGATGCCGCCACCATCAGCATCGACCTCGGCAGCGGTAGCAGCAGCATCTACAACAGCAGCAGCAGTAGCGGCAGCAGCAGCAGAGGCGGAAGCAGCGGCTACTTGGCACAGTCTGAGTCCGAGATGTTTGCAGACTCCACGGCCATCGATGCCGATGATGATGGCTTCCTCCATGGTGACCCTTGCGCCCCTCCACCTCTCTGCATCTCTTACAGAAGTGTTTCTCAGTGCTGTTCGCTAACAGCACTGGCCCCATCCGTCTATTAAGGCTATACGGGGAGCTTTGTTTTTGTGTGTGTATGTGTGTGTGTGTCAGAAGCGGTGGTGTATCCATTAGCGCAACGGACCCAGTGACCCGAGTTCGATTCCCCCTCACGCCCAACCCCAGTGACCACTATCTAAACCGCTTCTGCGCCTCCCCGGGGTCGATTCGGCTTAAAAAAAGTACCTGGTGAGGTGTGTAAACATCGCCACTAGGGAGACAAAGGCGGTCGGCCGTGGTGTTGGCCACCCACCCCTCGTGTGCAGTGTCGACCTTAATTGGCGCTCACTAACTGCACTTGCCCGCAACAGTCTGTTAAGGATATATAGAGGAACTTTGACAGTGTGCTTGTGAAAGTGACGGTGTGCTTTACAAGCTGTGACGATAATCCGCTAGTACCGTAACGGCCTTCATAGGACCTCGTTAACAGCACTTTCCCCAAAAGTGTGTTAAGTCTATACGGGGGATCTTTGTCTTCAGAACAGACTCCCTTCGTAAATCGGGACTGCCCAAATCATCACGGAAGCTACGCGGGTTCGGGCTGGCATCGATTGTAATACTGAAATAAAATGTGACCCGCCCGTACTAGACATCTGTGAAGAAGAGCTTCACCAATCATCGGATTCCTCCAGTCTAAATAAAGCTTCTGACGCTTATGTTAAGAGAAATGATAGTAAGTGCGATAAAATGTATACTGTTGTTACATTATTCGTGAAAAAGAACAACAGCTTCACTCGTCAATTATGACCCCGTGTGGCCTTAAAGAGAACACAAACATGCAATAGGGGATGCTTGGTGCATCACCCGAAACGTCGCTGATTACCGGCCCCCTGGAGGAGGAGGGCAGCCTGTCCTGCTGGGGTGGCTTTTGTGGGAAGGGGCCAAGTCGGTCGGCGGTGGACAAGGCCATCTTGAAGGCCCAGGGAAAGCTCGCCAAGACCCAGGCGAGGGCGCGCCAGGTCCTGGAGGAGCTGTGGCGGGACGCGGCCACAGTCGATGCCGCCACCATCAGCATCGACCTCGGCAGCGGTAGCAGCAGCAGCATCTACATCAGCAGCAGCAGTAGCGGCAGCAGCAGCAGAGGCGGGAAGCAGCGGCTACCTTGGCACAGTCTGAGTCCGAGATGTTTGCAGACTCCACGGCCATCGATGCCGATGATGATGGCTTCCTCCATGGTGACCCTTGCACCCCTCCACCTCTCTGTATCTCTTACAGCAGTGTTTCTCAAACTTTTTGTCCTGACGACCACTCGGCCAATGTAAAGATTTCTGCAGACCGCAAAACCCCCTACGACTTGTGACAAAGAAGGCCTATTGCCCAAAACGGCGCCGATTACACGTCTATATATGTTTGTTTGTCATTTCAAGGCCACAGTGTTGTTGACGAGTATGTTGAGTTTATTTTTCTTCTCAAGAGGCAAAGTGTCACCGGGACGTCGTGGAGAATGGCCCCTTGGCAAGTCGGCCGTGGCCAGATGTTCACCGCGTGCTGATTTTCTATTCCCCTAACTGAAGGCGTCTGTCAATCTGGACACCACGGTCGTGGATCCAAATGGTGTGCTGTACCTCAACCGAGACATTTTGAGCAAGCCTCGGCTAGTGGTGGTGGCGCAGTCAGCCGATTGGAAGTCTGGCCAGGAATCGGTTGGGAGTGACTTGCATATGGAAACACATACGGACCTGTAAAAAAGACAAAGATCCCCCATACAGCCTTAACACACTTTTGGCGCAAATGCTGTTAGCGAGCATCTATAAAGTCCGGCACTGTGGCACACGAGGAGGTGGGTGGCCAAAACTACGCCCGTCCGCCTTTGTCTTATGAGTGGCAATGTTTACATACTTCACAAAGTACTCAATTGAGGCTCAGTCGACCTAAGGGAGACCCAGGACCCATTCAGATAATCGTCACCATCGTTGTCCGTAAGCGGACAGAGAGCTTGGATCACCGGGTTCGTAGAGCAGCGCGCTAACCGCTACACGACTGCTCCCTACGTACATTTAGAATCAACATCACGCATTTAAGAGTATTTCGCTACTATAAATTTCCACGTGAAAAGCCACTTCGTTGAGCTATCATTTGTGGCCAGGTCGCTTCTGAAAAAAGAGCTACATAGCTCAGTGGGCCTTATGTGGTAAAATAAAAAATTGTAACGTTTTTTAGTTTAGTCTAATACTGCCAATGTATTAACAGGAGTATTAATGGGAACAACATTCCGCGCCATCTGCTTCACAGCGAACAATGACGTTTCCCCTCACGTAACTCGCAAGAGAAGGCCAAGGTGTGCCGGCGTCATGGTCCAAACTTGCTAAATTCGAAAATTACACCGCAAACGACTCAACCGTGATCACGCACACAGCGGCAGCCATTACTGCCCCCACCCCCCTACTGGCAGACTAATGCCCCAAGTCACCAGCAAACCAGACTCATCCTGGTATCTTGAGGTCTCAGGGGTTACGCAAAAAAAGACTTGAAACTAGGGCAGCGGTTCCTGGTCTGTGGTCCGCGGACCACTGGTCGACCCACAATGCCGAGCGGCAGACTCCATGTAATTAATTTTCCTTCCACAAACACCACATCCTTTACTACGCAATGGGCTAACAGTGATTTGCGAGTCCAGAAGGGTTCGGAAGCACTGATCTGGAGGGCGTTTTAGTTCTACTCTTCTTCCATGGCCAGACGTCTTGAAAGAAGTGGCAGTAACCTACACTTTAACCCACCACTCACAACCGGCCGACTAACCCAGTGTTTTTCATTGCAAGGTCCGCGGTCCACTGGCGGCCCCTGGTGGCCTTTAGTGCGGCCCCTGAAGTGCAGCCCCCCGACAATACACAAATAGTAAAAACATCCCCCATCATCATTGTGCTGCTGTCACACCCCCAATGGTTGCAAATGTGGCGGTCCTCACACCGATGATGTCTTATCGGTGAAAGTGGCCCCCCCTCTGTAAATTACTGAAGGACACTGTACTAACCGTGCTGTGGCCCGTTTGTAAGGGGTCATCCATTTAGTACGCAAGCAAAAATCTTTCAAAGCTTGACCCCTACCCGCCCCCCACCCCATCTGCGTATGTACGATTGACGTACCCCCGCCCCTCCCGAATCCTATAGAATGGCCGATCAAGGATTAATAATATTAACGTGTTTAAGCAAACAGTCCACCGCCAGACAATCCAACTAATTTGAAGGCCAATGTAGACAAATTATTGAGGCTTCACCCCCCCACCCACCCCGTTTCCTATGCGTACGTACATTGTCAGCAGACCCCCCATACGCAAGCGTACGCATTTGGGTTCATGCGTACATACTAAATGGATGGCCCCTAACCTGCTGACCAGACAGATGTAGTGGCACTCGCGTTAAACAGCCACACTTTAAAAGCATGTAAACATTCAATAGGTTTCGGAGTAGCATACAGTGTTAAATATTTTATCGCTTCCTTTTAAAAGTTTACATTCATGGGGTTAAAAAAACAAGATATATCATGATTACTTCTGCTCTCAACCAAAAATCCGGTTTATAATAATAATCTTGAAGGAAATGTTTCTCACCTAAATTAACGAGGATTTCCTTGGCGTGCCGCCCCTGCGAACACGAGGGAACAACAAATTAACCAACCGTTAATAATAGTAACATTTTTATTTTATACAGCATCGTTCATGCAAAACTACATCTCACAACGCTGTCGAAGCCAACAGAAACAAATAATGACGAATATATATTGCCTCTCGCAGAAAAACAACACACAGCATACTCAAACCAAGGTCAACTCAACTGTTACCAAACACAACACAGCCACTATCATCGTTATGGTGCATCGGCCAGTCATCTTAGTCAGTCGACCCATGGAACCTGGGTCTGCCCCGTGACCTCCTGCGGGCGTTCGACACTTCACGTGGCCGTAACGTGCACATAGCCTGGCACAAGCGACGTGGTGACGTCACCGCCACATAGTGGCGAATGGCGGTTGTTGGAGAGCGGTAATGTCACGGGAAGCGCGCTGCGCTATGAACCTGGTTCGATTCTCACTCACTGCCAACACCAGTGATGATTATCTGAACCAGTCCTGGGCTTCCCCTAGGTCGACTCAGCCCCCAATGAGAACCTCATGCAGTGTGTAAACATCACCACTGGGGAAATGAAGGCGGCTGGGCATAGTGTTGGCCACCTACCCCCTCGCGCGCCGTGCCGGCCTTCATAGGTTTTCACGAACAGCACTGACCCCAGCAGTCTATTAAGGCTATACGGGGGATCTCTGTCTTTGTTTTGTGTGTGTCAGAAGCGGTGGTGTAGCCGTTAGCACAATGAACCCAGTGACCCGAGTTCGATTCCCCCTCACGCCCAACCCCAGTGACCACTATCTAAACCGCTTCTGCGCCTCCACAAGTTCGACTAAGCAGAAAAAGAGTACCTGGTACAGTGTGTAAACATTGCCACTAGGCAGACAAAGGCGGTCGGCAGTGGTGTTGGTTACCCACCCCTCATGTGCAGTGTCGACCTTAATAGGCGCTCCCTAACTGCACTTGCCCGCAACAGTCTAAGGATATATAGAGGATCTTTGTCAGTGTGCTTGTGAAAGTGACTGTGTGCTTTTCCAGCTGTGACGATAATCCACTAGTACGGGAACGGCCTTCATAGGACCTCGTTAACAGCACTTTCCCCAAAAGTGTGTTAAGTCTATACGGGGGATCTTTGTCTTCAGAACAGACTCCCTTCGTAAATCGGGACTGCCCAAATCATCACGGAAGCTACACGGGTTCGGGCTGGCATCGATTGTAATACTGAAATAAAATGTGACCTGCCCGTACTAGACATCTGTGAAGAAGAGCTTCACCAATCATCGGATTCCTGCAGTTTCAATAAAGCTTTTAATTCTGATGTTAAAAAAGTTGATAGTAATAGTGCAATAAAAGGCATACTGTTGTTACATTATTCGTGCAAAAGAACAATTAACAAACAGGCTCTCCACTCGTCTATAATGACCCTGTGTGGCCTTAAAGAGAACACAAACGTGCAATTGGGGATGCTTGGTGCATCACCCGAAACGTCACTGATTACCGGACTGCCGGAGGAGGAGGGCAGCCTGTTCTGCTGCGCAGCATTTGTAGGAAGGGGCCACGTCAGTCGGCGGTGAACAAGGCCCTCCTGAAGGCCCAGGTAAAGCTCGCCAAGACCCAGGCGAGGACGCACCAGTTCCTGGAGGAGCTGTGGCGGGACGCGGCCACAGTCGATGCCACCACCATCAGCATCGACC